GCGCGGGCGAGTAACGCGCGGGCCAACCGTATTCCGCAAAAGACCTCCAATCCAGCAGTCGAAGCCCCGACTCGAGAGCCCCCGTGATGAGACTCTCCGGACGGAATATCGGTTCCGATATGCTCGCCCCCTGCTTCGCATAGTATCTGGTCCTCTCGTTCATCGCGACCGCGAACGTCTCTCCCTCCCTTTGTACGCCGATGATGTCGTTGGCGAACGTCCCGCTGGCGTCCGATATGAGGTCCACCTTGTCTCCGTTCATCGCACAACCGATGAATATCGAACGAGGACCGTCCAGGTGTCCTTTGATGAAGCACGCGAAGCGGGCCGTCTCCTTGGGCCCGGTTGTGAAGTACTGCACGGCGAAATTGCAGACCAGCAGGTCGAATCTCTCGCCGCCCAGCGCTTCGGACGCGAGATCGAGGTCCCTACAGTCGATAGGAGGTAGTAAGCTGACGTCCATCCTCCCAGCATACGGTCTGCTGCGCCTCTCCGCCTCTTCGAGCGCCTTCCCGTCAACGTCGAGCCCAACGACCCTGCGGATCCTACCGGTGCGGTCGTACTTATGCACGTCCCCCAAGCACCCGCACGCGAGGTCCAACACCTTCAAGTCCCTGCCGTTCCTGCATCTCGAGAGAGCTTCAGACAGCAGGGTCTCCTTCACCACGTTGTGAAACGCTCGGAGCCCCTCCATGTTCAAGGCTGTTCGGTACGTGCTTCTAGAGCCCGCATGGCGAATCTGTGGTTGGAGATCATCAAAGTCAGATATACCAAGAGGGCCGCTGGGACCAAGAACGAGAGGAATATGAGCATGGCCGTGGTGTCCATACCTCTCTGAACAACGAAAGCCTCTCGCCGCCCTATATCGTCAATCCAGCTTATCCTTGGGCTTGAATCTCTTTAAAAGGTAGCTGCCCGCCTCCTTTCGGCCTCGTTCGAAATCGGTCACCATGGCGGTCGTATCTGGTATGGTAACGCCCATCCCGTCGGTCGATGTGGACGAGAACACCCAATCTTCCCGCTCTATGGCCTGGAGTTGATGGTAGGTGCACACCAGCCTGATGACTCGAGCGGTGAATGCCAGGACGTCGTTCACGTCCTCTCGGTCGTAGTCCGGCAGTACCAAGATGGCCAGCTTCTCCTCTGGAGGTATTTGGGACACGAACGACACGGGATTGTAAGCTACCAGACCTCCGTCGCAGAAGCGCTTGTCGTCAATGATAGGGCTGGTGAAGATGAGAGGGATGGAGCAGGAGGCGCGTATCGCCGTTGCGATCTTGAGGTCGGGGGTGGTGTCCGCGGACATGAGCACCAGCGACCCCGTGGTCACGCAGGTGGTCGGTATGTGCAACTCGTTCCCAGTCTTCTGTAATAGCCCCACGAAAGTGAGGTCACGGAATCCTGGACTCAGGCGTTCTAGAATGCTAAAGATGAAGTCGAAGAGCCGCTCGCCGTCGTCCAGACCAAAGTCGGTGAACAACTTGGAGATTCGGATGGAAAACAGGAGCGAGTGCGCCGCTTCGTAAGACAAGACCGACCGCAACACCTCTTTCGGGCAGATATTTAGCGCGCCCATGAGGGCTAGGATGGACCCGGCTGACGTCCCGACGAACTTTCGGACGCCGGTCAGCATGCGCGCTTCTCTAAGGGCTTGTAGGACCCCCAACTGCAGGAAGCCTCCTGCTCCGGCCGCGCTGAACACGAGAGCTCTCAGCATCATTCTGCTTTCGGTCCAGAGATTTCGTCCCACAGCCTTACGCGGTCCCGCAGCTCGTTGAGGTCAACGAGGTCGGGCTCTCGGACTTCGAATTCCGTACCCCCACCCTGCAACGTAACACCAGAGCCCCCTCGTCCGAGAACTCGCAGAGCTCTGGACAGATGTCTTTCACGCTGAGATAGTCGCAGCTCGCGCTCCGCAACGAGCTCTTCACGCGCTGCGCGACGCAGGCGTCGAGGCCGGTGTCGGGGTCCACGTAATGCGCGGACACGACCGCGTCGACGAGGTCCTGATTCTTGACGGGCCACGCCGGCAGCGCACTCTGGAACCAGCTCCAGAGCTCCAGGTTGGAGATGTACGACAGCAGGAAGAAGAGTGTGTCCAGGACGGCCATGATGGGTCTGTCCCTAAAGACAGAAAATCTTGATACTCTCCCGTCCGCGGCTTTCGATCGCAATTTTTTATTCCAGTCGTTAGAAGGAAGGATGCATATGTTCTGCGTGCACACGGAGGATCGACCCGACCGCGAGGAGAACGTCGCAAAACAGGCCGAAAAGTATGGCCTGGAGATCGAAATCGTCGAGTTCGAGAGGGACGAAGAGTCGCCGATGAGAGGATGCTGCACGTCGCATCAAGCCATCATCGAGATGGCGAAGCAGCGAGATCTTGACGAGGTGATGATAATCGAGAACGACGTATGCTTCGAGGAGGATCCTCTGCAATATGCGAGCGGCCCTCCGGGCCTGCCGGCGAACATGCTATACCTCGGCGGGACGCTCAGTCGGATTTACTTTGAAGAACCCACCAGACTGGAGGGCAGCGACACCGTTGGGCTCTTAACGGTCAAACCCACTCACACGTTCCTCGACCTGGACAAGCTCATCAGGTCCCGAAGACAGGATGTGCTGGTGCTCACCATGGACGAGAGCCCCGACAGCGCTTTCGAAACATTCGGGGCCACCGACTACTCCAATGCATACATAGTTTCCGGAGAAGTCGCGGGGGAATCCGACATAATAGCGACCAGACAGCAGGTCAAGGGGGTGCGCTTCGCAAAGGACTTCTATCACAGAGCCAAGATGACCGACTGCTTCCGCGAGCAGAGCTCGCAACTCATCGGAGTAGCCAACATTGCCGCCATCGTCTCCAGGTTGCAAGAGATCATCTTCATGCCCGCAGTGCACGCCCCTCACTCGGCGGACACGCAAGAGATATTCGACTGCAAATGGGAGCTGCTCCGACGATCCGCCGAGCAGAGGAGACTGTGGTTGCCTTCCACCTGCTTGTCCACGCACTGTTACGTGTTGAAGAGGGACACATACTCACGGGCCATCGATCTGCTAGCGGCGAATATCGATAGACCTCTGGAAGATATACAGCCGGTCGACGTGGTCTATCAGACGCAGCTGCACCCGACGATCCAGTGTTACTCGCTCCTGAAGCCCGTGGCCTCTCAGATCCCAAGCTTCAGCGACATCGAAGCCAGGGCCGTGGACTACAGGAAGCTACACATGTACAACAGACCTCCGCAATATCCCGTTGCTTACGAGAGAAAGAGCATCCCCAAAGCTCGCGTGAGGAACGAGGGTAGGACGCTGTGCCTGGACAGGGTGGACCCAGACGATCTGCCTCGAGTGTCCGTGATCACGGTCACCAGGAACCACCACAGGCTCTTTGCTCTGCCCGTCAACAACTTTATGAACTTTGACTATCCAAAGGACAAGCTGGAGTGGGTCATAGTGGACGACTCCGAAGTCGGTCATGATGCCAAGCCGGCCCTCGGTGCGCTGAGGTCGGACAAGCGCGTGAGATTCGTCCGGCTTCGGACTAAAGACTCTCGGGCTCTGACCATCGGCCGGAAGAGGCAGATTGGTTGCGAGAACGCCACCGGAGACGTCTTCCTCCACATGGACGACGACGACCTGGTCCCCTCGTATGCCATAACCGCGCGAGTCAAGTCCCTGTTGACCTACGATGCCGAGTGCGTGGGGTCCACCAACATCCTCTGCTACGACATCAGCACGTCAGAGCTGTACAACTGGCCTTCGGCCGACGCTTTCGGAGATCGCACGATACTACCCGAGGCGGGCCTCGCTTATACCAAGCGTTTCTGGAAAGAGAAGGGATGGGAGGACGTCCACTTTGAGGAAGGCAAAGCTTTCTTAAGTGGAAGAGACCTGAACAAGATCGTAGACATCCCCTCGCAATTCCACCTCATCGCTATGACCCACTCCGGCAACTGCACCGGGACCCTTCGGACGGCCAAGCGCGTGGGAGCTAAGCTGCGTCAGAAAGTGGCGCCCGAAGAGGTCTTTCCCCCCGAGTTCGCCCGCCTCCTGCAATGCGTCTTTCGCACTAAATAATCTGTGCATATAGTACCACTCCATGACAAACGCTCTCTACTTCCAAGCTGCCGTGCTCCTCATGCTCACGCTCCGAGCCAGATGCGGACGCCTCCTTCTCCTGGGGGATCACGGAGAGAACGGTCGACTTTTCCGGGCATAAGTGGTATATCAAGGACTCTCTGGAGCCCTTGCAACCAGGGCCCTGTTATTGGACGGCAGACAACGTGAAGACGGACGCCGGCCAGCTCCTCTTGAGCGTAGCCAAAGCCGCTTCCGGTTCGTGGATGTCCAGCGAGGTGATGATCGACGAGAGTTTCGGATACGGGACCTATCAGATCGTCGTGAAAGACGCCCTGGCGCTCCACAACGAGAACATCGTCTTCGGAGCATTCATCTGGGACGAGACGAACCCTGTCTACAACGGCGAGATAGACATGATGGAAGCCTCTCGCTTCGGCGACCCGTTCAATCCATTCAACGCTCAGTTTGTCATTGCCCCCTGGAACGTAGACGGGCGCATTAACCGGTTCGCCATCCCGGCATCGGCGACCTCCGCCGTATTGACGCTGCAATGGTCCCCCACTGTGCTCCAGATGACCATCGCGTGCCCGGAGACGGGTTACTCTTTCTCTTGGGGGCCCAGGGATTCCAGCATCATCCCGGTCCCCAGCGGGAAAGAGAGGCTCCACCTGAACGCTTGGCAAAACTTTGGCAACGGCCCGACCGATTCGCAGCCCGTCACCTTTCACGTGCAATCTTTCTCCTTTTCGAACGCAGCTCCTACGAACTCTAGCACCCTCCCTCCCGTCGTCGCGCTTTCTCCTACTTCGACCCTCACCCCTGTTCCCAACGCGACTGCTGCTAGCCTCAATCCCACTCTCGCTCCCACGCCCACGCCGTACTTCTCGTTCAACAACGAGAGCGACCCGTCCCCAGCTCCCAGCCAGTTTAACAACGCCACCATATCTCCTCTGGTTCCTACTGGGACGCCTTATGTATGGTGGTTTGGAAGAAATGACACTCCAGCGGCCGGTCCAGAACCATCGATTACGCCAGCACCATCGATTGCACAAGCACCTTCGAACGTACAAACGGCACCGGCCCAAGCCCCGGCTCCTACGCGTCTGGTCCCAGCCCCTCCCCCCCAGCAGGTCGTTCCCAGCCTCGTCACATCTCAGCCTTCTTCCGCAGGGACGTTGTCGCAGTCCCTGATCGCCGTAGCGATCGTCGGCTGCATCCTGTCTGCTCTGATCGCATAAAGCGTCCGATGTGGTGTGACATGCACCGAACCCTAACATCCCCGATCATCTTGCGTCACATAGCCGAATATGGGCACTCATGCATTCGTTCGGTCGTGAAGAATATCTACATGTACTTTCAGGAGACATGTCTGACGGAGATAGCAGGAACATCCTTTCGTACGACGATTACAGCACAGGTCTGATAGACATACTGACGGAGTTTGGAGCTCCACAACACGTCCTAGATGGTGTGATCGCGATGGACAAATGGATCATAAACGACATGGGGTACAGGGCACCGGAGAATAGGAGCGAAGCGAGATACAAGAACATGCTGTTCACGGTTTTTTGCAAGCTCGATTCCGAGCCAAAAGGAGAGTATGAGTGGCAGCTGAAAGCAGCTGATTTTTTCAAAACATATGCATGACTATTCTGTCCCTATATGTCCTTCATGGTATCTAACCAGTGAGTCGTGGATCCATCATGAGCGTGATCCTCGCAATGGACAGACAGAAGCTCAACTCTAGGGCGGGCGTGCATGCAGCACTTCTATTAGCCGTGAACCTATGCTCCAAGGATCCATCGAAACCGTACATCTCGCCCACCCTCGTGGTCAGCACCACGCTCCCATTCGGGCACAGGACCTCGATAGGCCCCTTCTCTGCGGTCACCTCCACCAGCGGCAGCACGAAGATCAGCAGCACCGGCGGATTCTGTACGGAATCCACCCCTCTTCGAAAAGGTCGGTCGTTCGACTGGGTATCGTTTGTGATTATCCTAGTCCTCAGTAGAGAATACTAGTTTCCCAGTGCGGTGCTCAGCTGCCCCCAGACCTCAGCTCGCAACCCTTTCACCTCATCAGGACATGGCATGCCATACAGCCCGGGTTCTACTTGCTGGACGAGAGACCTGTCCATCTCCAGCGACGCCCTCAGTTCTCTCTCACAAGCCCGGAACCCATCTACCAGCTCATCGACCTTGCCCCAACCCGCTCCCTTCCAGTATCCACAGTCTACGATGCTCTGTACTATGGATCTGGGTTTTTGCTCATTCGGAACCCTGTTCCTCTCCTCTAAGTTGCTCAACGCGGTCCGAACGATCTGCTGCTCTTTCTGCAACTCTCTGAGCATCTCAACGACGGGTTGCATCTGCTCTGAGGAGTCCGGTCCACCTCCCTGCTTGCGCAGAGCTCTCTTATACCTCCTGACATTGAGACCCCTCTGGGCGGTCAATCTCACGAGGCAAGATGGCGTCAGGAAATACTTATGCTTGCTGAGGGGGACTTTGGACACGATATAGTCCTTCCCTGGCTCAAAGAAAGCAGTCTGTAGTCGGGCGACCACATGGTTCTTTCTGCTGTAGAGACCCTTGAGGATATCCAGACAGTCATCCAGGTCTATCGGAAAGTCGGCGCTCCTGGAGACCGGCATCTTCGCTCCTTTCTCCATATGTGAGAGTAGCGCTTGTAGATCCCCTTGCATGTGCTCCTTGATGAAATGAAGGTGCTGATAATGGTGCACATGGCTGCCTTGAGAGAGACGCGTACCTCATCCTAGCTCGGCGATAAGCCTATCGTAACGGACGGCAACGATTATGAGTCAGTGGTCGTGACGTGGCCGGGACCAATCGCCGCGTCCCGATTCGAACCGCGTGAGCGTTCCCCGGACGGACGCAAATCGACCTATAAATCGAGTCACAGTGTCGTCTGGCTCCCTAACGCACCATTACCGGCAGTTTGGGTCCGATGGAGGGTGTGGCTGCATCCGTCCTGTCGAGCGAGTGCTTCCTAGCTTGGTACTCTGAGCATCTCTGGAAAGATAAGCGGTATCCTCAGTGCAGCATGCTCCCCCTGCTGTGCAGGGAAACGCGTGATGCAGACAGGAAGGGAAACCCTAGGCTTGTCCTGCGATTCTCGTCGGAGATGGACGAGTCCGGAGCGGTCTGCAGGGCTGTGAGGTCGGGGCTGACACACTTGGCTATCTGCAACCCCTCTGATCCCTTCAGAGGCAGGAAGATGATGCCGTGGTTTGAGGTGCTGAGAGATGCAGAGAAGACCCGTACGCTGTGCGAGCTGGTGCTGGACCTGAGGGGTATGTGGTTGGAACCTTCCAAGTTCGATTTCAGGGAGCTAGGGAGCAGCGACAGGTTTCCAAAGTTGACCACATTGGTGGTGCTGATAGAAAGAGGGGTCGGCACTCTTTTCGAGATGTTGCAAAAAACTCTTGATATCAAGGACTTTTGTGTAGAGACACCTTGGGCCACGCTCGTTGCCTGTCCAGAGTCGAGTAGCATCTCGCTGGTGGTGGGGGCGATCAGATGGGTGACCTGGGAGGAGGTCAGCGCCCTGGTAGATCTCCTGACGTCCAGAGAGGATTTCTCTAGGATGCACCTCACTTTACAGATACCTCACTGGGAGCACTTGGACAAGATGATGAAAATCGTCAAGCAAGGAGAATGGCAGGATGTAGTCGTCGACTTGCTCATCGAGACGTTACACGATGAGATACCGTGCTGGTTCGGAAGGAATCGGCTCTCTCTCAACCTCCACAAGCACTATGAGTTTGGGGGCAAAAAGTCATACCCAGGCAGCCTCTCGTATTCACCAGGGAAAGTGTATTTGGACTCTAAGCAGTCATGGACAAAGTTCTTCGTCGAGTACCTGGTAGATGCGAACATCGATGTAAAGGTCATCTGGAAGTGATCATCTTTCCGCGTCAGATCGTTCGGATCGATTGCGCATGCGTATGTCAAGCATGGCTTTCGTCGGCATTCGCCTGCATGGAGGCCTCGGCAACAAAATCTTTCAATTGTTGTTCGCTCGAGCATTCGCCCTGCGGCATGGCAAGGAACTGAAGATAGTACAGGTAGAGCCTAATAGGCACAGCGACATGAATTATTTCGACAACGTATTCGCGCGCTTCGCTCCTATGTTAGATGAGGATGCAGCTAGGTTGGTGTACACGCAAGTGTACGAAGATCCCATGGGTCCCTGGCGGCATGTGACATACCCTCCTAGAGACGTGCCGACGCTATACCATGGTTACTTTCAGACGGCCAAGCATTTCGAGGACGTGATAAGCCGCGAGGACATACTAGATTGGCTCGGACTAGCCAAAGGAGCTCTGCCCTCGAGGGTCCTCCAGCTTTACCCTGGCGTGACGAGTGGGGCTTTCATCCATGTGCGGCGTGGTGATTATCTGACTCTCGACCATATCGTACACTATTTAGACCTCTCGAAGTACTACGAGAAGGCATTGCAAATGTTCGAAGACCGGTACGCCGCCGAAACCTGGCAATTGTTCGTAGTGAGCGATGATATAGAGCATTGCGAAGGCATGCGCGCTTTCAAAGGCCGAAGCAACGTCACGTTAGTGCGCGATCTCGACGAGGTAGAGACACTGTGCCTGATGACGCTCTGTCGTTTGGGGGGCATCGCTGCCAATTCTACCTTCTCCTGGTTCGGTGCATACCTCATTCCCAACGACGACAAGCTCGTGACTCTTCCCAAACCCTGGTGGACCTTGCACGGCTACGACACGGAAGATCTGTACTTCAGAGGGTCGACCGTGATCAGCACATTCTGATCTCTTCATTTGTGCTGCGGTTCTGGTCCATGAAGACCTCCAGGATTTCTTGGGGCTTGTAGATGTCCTTTGGGATCTTAACCAGCTCATTGAGGCCGATAGCATGGAGGCCAGAGTGTTCGCTCACGGCCTTGGTGTGGATGGCAGGAACGCAGTCCAATACCACGGTAAGCCCGTTTTCCCGCTTCGCTTCTTTGAGGTATTCTCGGAGGACGTCCTCCAGGCCCCAACCAGCCTTCAGATCTGGGTAGTCTCGCAGGGCTCGCATGAAGACCGGCACGAACGTATGGTTGCCGAATCCGTGCATCATGATCTCGACCTTTGTCACCGTATGGTACAAGGCATTCTTCAAGAGAAGGCTGCCGGACCATCCCGAAGAGTAAAAGTGCTGGACCGCTCTCGGGTGGGTGAGAACATTTCCGATCGCTGGCTGGAAGATGTCAGCCCCCGTCTCTTCTACTACCTTGAACATCGTATCCACGCTTTCTTGCCCGTAGTACATCTCTATATCGTCGTCAGGGAGCCACACGTTTCGGTAAGCATTCAGGACGTCATCACCGACCTTTGTCAAGACCTTCCTGAGTATCTCGTACTTTAGGCCTTTCTCCACGAAGAATCTATCGCACGAGGACTCGTACTTGCTCCTCACCTCTTCGCGTTCTCCGTAGTAAATCACCCACAGGTCGAACGACCGCTCTGCGAAGAACCATTCCAGATGCAGCGAATGATCGCCCGCAGCTACGATGACTAAGTTTGTCCGACTCATGCCCCCGTTTGCTTCTCGCCTCGAAAACTTTCGCTGGATCCTACCGTGAGCTCGATCTTCTTGGGTGCATAGTACTCTCTCGTTTGTTCTGCGTTTAGACGGGTCAAGTAGCGGAAATGCATCTCCCCGGCTTGCCAGTAAGGATTCTCCTTGCTGCTGTTGACTCCCCTGAAATGTTCGCAATAAAAAACGTGGCCCTCTACTCGTCCGTGTCTCAATCCCATTTTTTCGTTGCAGTATATCCTGCTGTCATCTTCGCAAGTCCACGAGAAGAATGTCTCATCCTCACCACCGTTACGAGCATATGCTCTGCTATCGAGAAAGACCACGAAGCCGTTCCCCGCATGACCACGTCTCGATGCTCTCAAGACCGCATCATGCTTGTCTATATCGAGAAGATCGTCGGCTATGTCCTGTGCTACGTAGTAAACACCTGGAGGATTCGTGAATGGGCTGACTATCTGGTAATCACCGCTAGCTACCAATTCCTCGGCTTTCTCATAAGAATCTACCGGCAAAATGCAATCTATGTCGTGAATGATAACCACCTTAGTACGCACCTTACGCAAGCCGATATTGAGATACTTGGTCCGGTGGAAGATGGGGTTCTCGTCAGGTATGAATTCGTAGTCTATTCGCTCATCATGATCACTATTGAGCTTTCGGACGAGCTCCATCAGCTTCGGACGCCCGACCTCTATGATGATTATGCTGATACCAGGAAGGTTCTCGAGCAAGAAAGTCAGGGTCCGAGTAGCATTCGCCATCCGATCGCTGCTCTCTATATACAAGGCGAAGAGAGCAGTACTGTTCCTCATGATCTTGTTATCCTAACAGAAAAATCGACGCATCAAGAAACGCTCATTTTTGTAGCGTGATAACATGTAGGTTACGAAGCTGATTGCACTGCACGAGCCTCATGATCGAAACTGCTTACTCACTTTCTCGACAGTGTTCATTCCAAAATGATCCAATGGTCTTCGGGATTGGTACCTACAGTATGTTCAGA